TCTACAATAAATCAAAAAATTAGCCGGACGTGGTAGCGCACGCCTGTAATTCCAGCTACTCGGAAGGCTGAGGCGGAAGGATTGCCAGAGCCCAGCAGGTCGAGGAGGCAGTGACCGGGAGCGGCCACTGCACTTCAGACTGGGCGACAGAGTGAGAATCCAACTCAAAAAAAAAAAAAAAAAGTTATCTTGGATATTAATCCTTCCACATAAAATCCTAATGAGATTTTGACTGGGATTATAATTTATAGATTACATATTGGGCAATAAATGTATTTTTAACAATATCAAATACATTTCTGGCCAGGCACAGTGGTTCATATCTATTATCCCAGCACCTTGGTAGACCAAGGTGGGAGAATTGCTTGAGCCCAGGAGTTCGAGACCAACCTGGGCAACAGAGTGAGAACTTATCTCTACAAAAATAAATTACCCAGGCAGGTTGGCACACATCTGTACTCCCAGCTACTGAGGAGGATGAGGTGGGGGGGATCATCTGAACTCAGGAGATTGAAGCTGCAGTGAGACATGATTGTGCCACTACCCTCCAGTCTGGGTGACAGAATTGAGATGGGAGGAAAAATAGTATTTGCTTTCAAAATTCTATCTCGTCATTCATTCAAATCTTAATATCTATTAAAGTTTTAAACTTTTCTTTATAAAAGAGTGACATACTACTTATTACATTTATTCTTAGGTGGGGCTTTTCTTTTATTTGGGGGAGAAGTATTTTTTATTTTGCAAAAGAAATATTTTTTCCTAACTACATTTTTTTTTTTGAGTTGAGGCCTCACCCTGTCACCCAGACTGGAGTGCAGTGGCATAATAGCAGCTCACCACAGCCTTGAATTCCTGGGGTCCAGTAATCCTCCTGCCTTAGCCTCCTTAGTAGCTGGGACTACATGTGTATACCACCATGTGCAGCTAATTCTTTGATTTTTTTTTTTTTTTATAGAGATGAGGTCTCACTATATTGTCCAGGCTGGTCTTGAACTCCTGGGCTCAACTCAGTATCCTCCTACCTCAACCTCCTAAGGTGCTAGGATTATAGACATGAGCCATCATGCCCAGCCCCTAATTACATTTTTAAATTGGTTACTGCTAGCAAGCTACACTGGCTTTGTATGTTCAACTGGAATCTGGCTATTTGGCTGAATTATCTTCCTAATTGATTCTCCTGAGTTTTCTTTTTGTTTTTGTTTTTTTGAGTAGAAGAAGTCTCACTGTCTCCCAGGCTGGAATGCAGTGGCATACTCATGGCTACCACAGCCTCAATCTGCTGGGCTCAGGTGATCCTTCCAAGTAGCTAGAACTACAGGTGTGCACCACCACACCCAGCTAATTTTTTAATTTACTGCAGAGATGAGGTCTCGCCATGTTGCTCAGGTTGGTCTTGGACCCCTCAGGCAATCCTCGCACCTCGGCCACCCCAAGTGTTAGGATTACAAGCATGAGCCACTGTGCCAGGTGATTCTCTTGAGTTTTCTATGTAGGCTAGGGGTTGGCAAATGACAAGCCTCAGGCCAAATCTAGTCTGCTGCCTATTTTTGTAAACAGTCTTACTGAGTACACAGTCACACCCATTTGTTTCTGTATTGTCTAAAGAACTTTCTTGCTAGAATAGCATTGTTAAGAGGCTGTAACACACCTCATCAACAAGGGTGCCCGCATAATGAACATTTGTATACTAACCCCGAATTGTACCCCACATATTTAAAATTAAAAAATAAAAAGAGGCTGTGACAGAGATACTATTAGCTCAAAAGGCCTAAAATACTTAACTATTGACCCTTTACAGAAAAGAGTTGCCCATCCAATGTAGGTAATGATACTACCTGCAAATAACAATTCTGTCTCTTCTAAATGTATTTCATTCATTCATTTCTAAATAAATGGGCCCTCCAACAAAATGATATAGTGATGATAACAGAGGACTTTTGTCTTGAAGGCCTTGTTTCACTGTTAAGACTGACATTCACCACAGGATTTTTTCTTTTCTTTTCTTTTTTTGAGAGAGGATCTCACTCTGTCAAACAAAATGGAATGCAGTGGCACAATACTGGGTCACTGCAGCTTCGACCTCCTGGACAAGGAGTCCTCCTGCCTCAGCCTCCAGAGTAGCTGGAATAGCAACAGGCACGCACCACCATGCCTGGCTTTTTATTTTTCGGTAGAGACAGGGTCTCACTATGTTGCCTAGGCTGGTCTTGAACTCCTGGGCTCAAGTGATCTTCTGTCTCAGGCGCACAAAGTGCTGGGATTATAGGCATGACCCACTGTGCCCAGCCTGATGCTCACTACCAGGTTTCATTGAGCTAAAAAAAATTTCAGAGCTAAAAATAATTTCAATGCTAAAAATTTTAATCTAAAGAACTATATGTTGTTCTAAGATCATGTTCTTCCCACTTTTTCCTCCTGTGAAACAGTGGTAGTAACACAAAGAAGTTGTTTTTCTTTTTTCTTTTGAGTTGGAGTCAAACTCTGTTGCCCAGGCTGGAGTGTAGTGACATGCTCACGGCCACTACCGCAGGCTTGACCTACTGGGCTCAGGTGATCCTTCCCCCTCAGCCTTCCAAGTAGCTGGAACTACAGGAATGTGCTATAACACCCAGTTTATTTTTTGATTTACTGTAGAGATGAGTTTTCACCAAGTTGCCCAGGCTGGTCTTGAAACCCTGAGCTCAGACAATCCTTTTACCTTGGCCTCCCAAAATGCTCGAATTTCAGGCTTAAGCTACCATGCCCGACCAGTAGTTGTTTTTAATATCTTTACATGGTTAAAAAAAAGGGCTGAAAATCCTGTATTAATCTATGAACTAGGCCATGAAATCCAAGTCTAAGAAACATTAGGCTAAGCTTTAAACATACTATAGTGATATTTACAGCACAAACTCTGAGATCACACAGTGTACTGTTTTTCTTACTCAAAATTAAATATGGGTTTATATAAGGAAAGAGGCAGCATAGATATTGGTAAAGTGCTACAGGACATGGGCTTTGAGATTTAGAAGTGGGAATTCTGGCTACCCATTTCCCAGGTAGCTATGAAAGCTTAGGCAATCTACTTACCTTCTCTAAGCCACAGTTCTACCTTAAAATGAAGGCAACAGTAGTACCTACTGTATAAAGTTCTTCTCAAAATTAAATAATAAAGCACTTTTATAATATTTGGTCAATTGTAAGCATTCAGCAAATGGTAGATGTTTTTGTTATTATATGTTATATGTATGTTATTACTTAACACATTCCTTTTTTAAATGTTTTTGTTTGTTTGTTTGTTTGTTTGTTTTTGAGTTGGAGTTTCACTCTGTTGCCCAGACTGGAGTGCAGTGGCCGCTCCCGGCCACCGCAGCCTCGACCTGCTGGGCTCCGGCTATCCTTTCGCCTCAGCCTTCCAAGTAGCTGGAATTACAGGCATGCGCTACCACGCCCAGCTGATTTTTTCATTTATTGTAGAGATGAGGTCTCGCTGCCCAGGTGGGTCTCGAACCCGCAGGCTCAGGCAATCCACTCACCTCAGCCTCCCAAAGGCGCGGGATTACAGGCTGAGCCACTGAGCCCGGCTTTAAATGATTTCTTAAAAATAGAGACTTAAACTAGGTATATACATGGGATCATCTTACTTCCCATTACAGAAACTGTCTCTAGGGGGGAAAAAGTTTGTAATATATATATATATATATATCAGAATCCTCCTAAACATGGGGATGTTTATCACTTATTCAAAAAGAAGGGCCCACAGTCAAAGTTTAGGCAATGTCACTTTGAAATTAGTATTATATCCTGGTGGTGGCTCATGCCTATAATCCCAGCACTTTGGGAGGCTGAGGTGGGAAGATCGCTTGAGGCCAGGAGTTAGAGACCAGCCTGGGCAATAAATATAGTGAGACTCCGTCTCTAAAAACGTTGTAAAACTCCCCTAAATAAACCAATTATTGATATGGCGATGTGCACTCTGAATCTTTAGAAGAAGAAAAGTATTATAAATCATTCTCCAAAAGTATTTGAGTATGAAACCCTTCTTTCTCAGATCATTACACTGTGGGAAATGCTGGCTACAAATAATTCTGTGAAGAATGGAGTAAATCAATATGGGGAACATGGAGTTGAAAAATAACTTTCATTTTTCTTTACACAGATTTCATGGAGGAGTTAAGATTTCAAAAAACTCTGAACGAAGAAATAAATGTGTTTTTAAAAAAAGCAGTAGTTAGAAGGAAGTAGTATAAGTATCACCAGGAGATGCAGATGGCCAAGTTAGAATATACAGGAGACCAGCTTTTGAAAATGGAAGAGGTTTTATGAGAACAATGTGAGTATTAACAAGAAAGTTACAATGAACCATTTGGGCAGAATATCCTTGAATCAACAAACACATCCAACTGTTACTGTTGATACTAATGGGCAAAAAAGGGAAACCAAAATTCTCAATTTTCGAAGCTTATCCCACAGAGCAACAGAAATGTACTTACTTCACTAGAGCAGCTGCTTCAGGAAGTACATCAGCAAACGATTCACGGAATATGATTGCATTTTTCCTTTTACAGTTCTGTATGACATCATTGGCAAGGTAAAAGAGATTCAGACGGTGGGGATATGCAGCTAGAGATGACAAAAGACAATAAATAAAACCAAATGAGTCAGTCTGTATTTAAGGCAACTTAGTCCAAACACAATGTTCTCAAAACTAGAACTGCTTTTTTACATGGATATAAAAACATGATGTAATTACATGGATGGATGGATACACAGACAACTGAACTAATGAATCAGTTTACTGAACATACTAAAAATCTCGACTATTACAGATTAAGTTTCTATTCAAGGTACTCCTCATGTAGATTTCTCCTTCTCTTTGTAGACATTCGGCACTTTATTTAAAAAAAAAAAAAGCTCTGGAGAAGCTAAAATAGAACAAAATTATACTCCCAAACATTTGGGAAGACCAAAAAACTGAACTGGAACAACTCAACTTGTTGCAGAAGCACCAAGTTAGTGGAAAGAGCAGAGGCTTTGGAATTCAATCAGAATGTAACCTTAAGCAAAGTGCTTAAGATTTATTGTAGGATGGAATATTATGCAGCCATAAAGAAGGATAAACATATGGACTTTGCAGCAACTTAGATGGATTTAGATTCTATCATACTCAGTGACCTATCACAGAAACAAAGAACGGGGTATCATATGTTCTCATTCATAAGCAGACCTTGAACAATTATCATAATACTATAAGAAAGGGATTGGCAGTAGTGGGAAACTGCCAGAGGAGGGGGGTGGGATTGACAGTTGAGAGAAGCTGCCGGGGGACACACCTCATCAACAAGAATACCTGCATAATGAACATTGTATACCTAACTCTGAACTGTATTCCACATCTTTAAAATTAAAAAAAGATTTATTATAGGCAAAATCAACCAATCCAGATACCACTCAGCTATATCTAAGTCCTCTGATCAACTAGAAGGGAGGCTCTGCTGCCACTGTCATCACTAGGTGACTGTCCTGGGAAGTAATATGATCCCATGCATACACCTTGGGTAAGTTTCTCAAAGGCCCATAACAAGGTCCAATCAATTTACTATCTAATTGAGCAAAGCCACCTCAAGTTATGCTGGGCAATTCCAATGTTCATACGAATGATCATCACATTTTCTAGACTCTGAGTTCCTTGATCTCAAATTCAGTGACCTCCAAGAACTACTCCTTTACACATTTTAAAATCCCCTTCTCTGACCACAACCTCCTACTCCATTATACTTATTTTCCAACTTCATCAAGATCTCAGTTCTTTTTTTTTTTTTTTTGGAGTTGGAGTCTCACTCTGTCGCCCAGACTGGAGTGCAGTGGCCGCTCCCGGCCACCGCAACCTCGCCTGCTGGGCTCCGGCGATCCTTCTGCCTAAGCCTTCCAAGTAGCTGGAATTACAGGCATGCGCTACCACGCCCGGCTGATTTTTTGATTTATTGTAGAGATGAGGTCTCGCTGCCCAGGCGGGTCTCGAACCCGCGGGCTCAGGCAATCCACTCACCTCAGCCTCCCAAAGGCGCGGGATTACAGGCTGAGCCACCGAGCCCGGCTCAAGATCTCAGTTCTTAACAAAGCAAGAGTCTCTACCAAAAAAAATTTAGCTGGGCATGGTAGTGTGAGCCTGAAGTTTCAGCTACTCAGAAGGTTGAGGTCAGAGGATCGCTTGAGCCCAGGAGTCTGAGGTTATAGTGAGCTATGATTGCAGCCTGAGGTTACAGTGAGCTATGATGACAGAGCAAGATCCTGTCTCTTAAAAAGAAAAACAGAACTCAGTTCTTTATTTTCTCTAATCCTATATTATCTTCCAGTACTTGATTCTTTCGTTATCAATTCCAGAGTCTTTCACCCATTATTTAAACCATTATTTTACCAACATCATCCTAACTGGTTACCTTGCTTCTATATTTTCTAATATGCAAACATTATCCAATTATTTCTCATCCACTCTGCCAATGATTTCCCACTGTTTAATGGAAAAAGCTGAAACTACTTAGCCTCCATTATGACTCGCATCCTTCAGCGAGCCATGGTCCAGCCACTGAATGCCAAAAACAGTGAAACACTCATCCCTAAAAATAAATAATAAATTCACAGGAAGAAAGGGGAAAGCATTCCATAGAAAACAAGTCATAAGCAAAGGCATGAGGAGCTGAGGAGGACTGTGAAATGATTATCTTTTGTTTTGGAAAAGAGAGAGACTTAGGCCAGAATTTTTAATTTATTTAACAAATACAGAGCATTTTCTATGTGCTAGGGACTGTTCTAAAAAGGATACAGATATTAACTGATACTTTCTCAACAACCCTATAAGGTTGGTACTGTTATCATTCCCATTTAATAGATGGAGTGAATTATCCAAAGTCAAAGCTATTATTAAGTGGTATAGCTGGGATTCAAATCTGGATGATTAAAAAAAAAAAACAAAACTCCATTTTTATTTCTGCCTGACCAGGAAGGTTTGCATGGAACAACAATGGTGAATAGAGAAGACAGATTCTGGTAAGACTTAAATACTGAGCTAAAAAGTTTTAGTCCTTATTCTGTGGTCAAGAAGAAGTCGCGAAAACTTCTATAGATATATAGCAAGGAGCTTAACAAAAAGCAGTAAATAATTTTAGTGTCAGAAGTGATAACAAAAAGAGCTAATAACACCAAAAATGACCCAGTCTTGTCAACAAATCAATGGCATATAATTAAATGTGCTGAGCTGGGCTCGGTGGCTCAGCCTGTAATCCAGCGCTTTGAGAGGCTGAGATGAGTGGATGGCCTGAGCCCACGGGTTCGAGACCCGCCCGGGCAACTTGGTGAGACCTCATCTCTACAATAAATCAAAAATTAGCTGGGCGTGGTAGCATGCGCCTGTAGTTCCAGCTACTCGGAAGGCTGAGCGGAAGGATCGCTGGAGCCCAGCAGGTCGAGGCTGTGGTGACCAGGAGTGTGCCACTGCACTCCAGTCTGGGTGACAGAGTGAGACTCCTACTCAAAAAAAAAAAAAAAATTAAATGTGCTGGATAGATTAAGAGAGACTCAAGGGAAACAGCAATCAGATGTAATTAATTTGTGTTCCTTGAGTGGTTATAGGTTTGAATTAACCAACTGTCTATAAGTGACATTTTGGAAACAATCAAGGAAATCTGAATGTGGTCTGAGATCAGATAAGATGAAAATTTAGTGAAATGGAAATGAAGAGATCTTCAACTGAAAAACAAACAGTAATTATAGAATTATATCATTTTAGGAAAAATCTGTATCTTTATTTGTTTAAAAGAGATCGGAAAGCAAAAAAAGCTAAGTTTTCACAGTACTGATCTCTAAGAGGTATATACGTATATTTTACCCCCTTTGCTTGCTTTTATTCTTATTTTTTATAATACATTTTGGCAATTCCATAACAAAAAGTTATTACAGAAGTACAATCATTTTTGCCCAGAAAGGCTGATTAGTTTTCTTGAAGAATTTTGTCTTTCCATCTTGGACCTCTTCTTGGAACTCCATATTCAAATACCAACTGCCCACCCAACATCTCCTTTGGACAGCTTAAAGTCAGTATGTCCAACACTGATCTTCTGATCTTTTCTCCAAACTCTCTTCCCCTATAGTCTTCTCCATCTCAGTAAATGTCATTTCTATTTCTTCTGATGGCTCTAGGAAAAATATTGAGTCATCCTTGGCTCCTATCTTTCATACTCCATATTCAAACTATCAGCAGATTTCATTAATGGTACCTTTGACATACATACAGACATAAAGAAGTTACAAATATGGAAAAGGGGGATCTAGCAGTTCATGGTATTGAACTTAATTGGAAGTCTTGGTGTGAACTCAGTTATATACAGAAAACATACAGATGAATAAATATGGCAGTTTGTGTGTGTGTGTGTACATGTATGTACATACAACGATTTCTTAGATTGTTCCACTGAAAAGGCATAGTGGCCAGGTGCGGCCACTATAATCCCAGCATTTTGCAAGGCTGAGCCAGGAGGATGACTAGAGACCAGGAGTTAAAGACCAGTCTGAGCAACATAATGAGACCCCGTCTACACAAAAAATTTTAAAACTTAGCTAGGTGTGGTGGTGCAAATCTGTGATCCCAGCTGCTTGGGAAGCTGAGGTGGAAGGATCACTTGATCACGAGAGGATTGCCTGAGTTTGAGACCAGCCTGGGCAACTTGGCTGTATTCTTGATATATATTTGGAGACCTCGTCTCTACAATAAATCCAAAAAAATTAGCCAGGCATGGTGGCGCATGCCTGCAGTTCCAGCTACCTGGAAGGCTGAGGTGGAAGGATCGCCTGAGCCCAGCAAGTCAAGACTGTGATGGCCATGAGCGTGACACCGCACTCCAGTCTGGGTGACAGAGTGAGACTCCAAACAAAAAAAAAGAAAGAAAAAAAGAAGTAATGACATTCCAGGATCAACGAGCACACCTAGTGCCTAGATCTTAGTTTCTAAGAAAAACCAGGGAATCTTGGAGAAATGATTGATTCCAGGCCGGGAGAAAAAGTAAAAAAGTACTCTAATAACAATGTCACAAGAACACAGGGCAGGCAGCAAATGTGCTTGCTGCTGTCCTGCCTGTTGGGCCCTTCACAACCTATCTTCCCATTAATTAATAAATTCACCTTTCTCAATTTAAAAAAGAAGAAGAACATTGACACCAGCTTGAAGGGTTCCCACTGGTCAAATCTATGACAAGGTAAGAATCAAAATAAATAGCAGTAATGGAATAAAACAGGAATCTATGGATACATACTGATGTCAGTAAATACATAAATGGGAGCAGGAGGATAGCACTGCCTTATGGTCAAATTCCAACTAAAAAATGTAGAAGAAATGATGGAATATAGAAATCAGCAATGGGCATTTATCATAGCAAAGGCTGATTCAAGCAACAATCATCAATGAAGGCCAAAGCTAGTAAGAGAAAGTTTAATGAGGAATAGGATAGTTGAAGTGTTTTAAACTATTTTCCCATAAAATACTCATTGGCTTTATAGTGGAGAAACCTGGCAACTACCATCTTAACCAAGTTATAAAAGCTAACGTGACTATTAATGGGACAGACATTATA